ATTGTGAAGTGTCATCCTATATATCTGACATCAGCTCTTGACCAGAATAACCCCTGCAGTCCTTATTATGCCATACTAGTCCTTAATATACATCCTTAAAGTGATGGATATGTGTTATTCTTAAAAGGAGAACTATGAGATGAGTGATTTCCACTCACCTCATAGTTCTAGCCGACCTGTGACAATGAGACTGTCACAGGTCGGCTCAGTAGATCAGGAGGTGAGCGAACACATACCGCGTTCTCTCACCTCTCGATCCTGTCACGGCTCTCTGCCGTGACAGGGGGAGGGGCTGGATTCCCCTCTCCCTGCTCCTATCTGCCAGCGCTAACTGGCGGAATGGACGGGGGAGGGGGCGGGTACAGCTGGCTCTGCCTCTAGATAGGCAGAGCCAGCTGTCACTCATGCAGCTGGGCGGATCTCGACGTCGATGTCGGGATCCGCTCCGGCTGCGGCGTCTCAGTATACCGCGAGCTGTAGCTCGCGGTATACTGAGCTTAGGGTAACGGGAGGACGCTAGTTTGTGTCCTCCCGTTACCCTAAGGAGAACTATGGGGAAAAACACTGACCTAATAGTTCTCCTTTAAGCTGGCGATACACCTATCGATTATCGTTCGATTTCTTTCGTGCCCTCATGGAACCATCGTTCGATTTCTGCTGGAATGCCCCATCATACACAGACCATTGTCGATTTTGATTATCGTTCGTTAGCAATACTAACTCACCGAATTTCGTCGATCGACAGAACGGATTTTCATTTGTGCATGTACAGTGTTCATGTTGCGATATTTTTGGTACAAAAACGACACTAATTTATCGATTTTCGTATGTTTCACAAAAAAAGTTTTCCAGCCTGACCGATGTTTGACTGTCAGATTTGGCTTTTTTTAATCTCCATTTTTTTTTGTGTCATACTAATACAAACAAAATAAACATGAGAATGCCTAAACATTTGTATTGCAACAAATTTCTGCGCGAAGTTGTGCATTATCTGACAGAAACGCAGGGGTGCCAATATTTTTGGCCATGACTGTATATAATTGAGAAATGAGTACTGTCATTTGCAAAAAGCTGCACATATTGGTGTTAGCTGTGCAAAGAGCAGAGATTGCACATGGTAAACTTTTCATGCTCTGCTGTTTTATTAGACATGGAAACAATGTGGGGGAAAATAATATTAAATTACAAAATTAACAGGAATCATAACCACCCAGTCTAATGATCTGCTCCTGATTCCTTATGGACAATTGCCCATGAAGAGTTTTGAGGCATGTGCTAGCACTCTGAGTGCAATGCCATATTGATCCAGTTTACAGTCTTGTTTATGGGATCAATATTAGAGATTAAGCTAGTATCAATGAAGCAGACAGCCAAATACCAAACAAACCAAGTAGATAAGGATACGTAAAATGCTTCCTGAACACCTGACTAAGGGGGTTATTCACAAAAGGGTAAGATAGCAGGATAAATTAATAATATAGGACAATATCGCTGATTTGAAAAAATTCTCAATCTCAGCTCACTTTCCAGTTCAGCTATGCTGTCCTAGATTGTTCCCTTCTCCTGCCTTCTCCAAACTCTTCACCCTTTTGTGAATAACCCCCTAAATAATATTTATAGCACTGTTTATTAACAGGTATATCTTTGTAGATTACATTACAGCGATACAGACATAGTGGGTAATAATCTACTAGACAATATGCACAAGACCAGGCACAAGAATTAAAAGACCAAAAGAAAAGGAAATGGTATATGGGATAAAGTGTAGTGTGATAAAGACTAGGGATGGGCTCCATGTTTGAGTAGAGCAACAGTTCGACTTGAACATCAGCAGTTCGTGTGTTCGGTGAACACACAAACTGTCAGGGCGTGCTGCGGGCTCTTCACCCGACGAGCACCCCACAAGGCACTGCGCACCGCACAGTGCCTTTTGAGCCCTGATTGGGTCAAGCAATGCACCTGACCACAGGTCAGGTGCCAGACTTTACCCAATCACAGCACAGAGAACTGTGAGAGCCATGATTGGGCAAAGCCATGATGACTTTGACCAATCATGGCTCACACGGCTAAGTCCTGTCAGGTGCCGGACAAATGTAAACAGTTGGGCAGAGCTAGCTAGCTGTCACCGCTAGCTCCGCCCAATAATTTATATTTTGCCGGCATCTGTCAGAATGCCCTTCAGCGGCAGGAGTTCGTCGCGAGCGGACGGGATGGCGGATGTCAGGTTTTTTTTCTATTATTTCTATTTTTTTGTTTTGTTTATTTCATCGAGTTTTTGCTGTCGTGGACAACGCTGGACGTCGTGATTGACCCTAGGATTACGGTGGATCCATTTTTGAGGATTTGTCAAAATCCTTTGTTGCATTTTTATTTCAATTAAAGGATTTTCCCTAAAAGTCGGGACTTTTTATTTATCTTTATTTGACCCTTTAGGGAATGGGTAGGTGTACCCCAATTACTCCTTACTCATTCACAAGGGAGGGGGGTACATCTGCGTTCCCCTTTATTAAAGGTATACCCCAATGTAAATAAGCCCGCACCCCCACAACCAACGCTCCAGGGCTTGTGGGAAGAGGCCCTTGTCCTCATCGGCACAGGTGACCCTGGAAAAGCACCCTTCCAGTGCCGAGGGCATGTGGCCTGGTATGGCAGGGAGGGCTCGCTCGTCCCCCCCTTTCCTGCCCTGCCAGGCCTGTGCTCGGATCAAGGGTCTGGTTGGGAATTTTAGGGGGGACCCCATGTCTTTTTTTCCCCCATTTTGGGGTGGGGTTCCTCCTTAAGATTCCTACCAGACTTTAAGGGCCTGGTATGACTTTGAGGGAGACCCTCACACACTTTTTGTTTTTTTTAAATGGGGTCCCTCATAACTTTCCTACCAGACCTAAAGGGTCTGGTATTGTTTGGGAGGGGGAACTGCACACTTTTTTTTCTTTATAAATGTAATTTTTTTCTTTATAAATGTCAGTTTTGCTGCAGCTGGTTCTATACATCGTACACATGTGCCACTTTACAGGCAGTTTAAGGGGACCTCTCAGGCACAATATTTAAAGGAATTTTTCATTTTTGGAGGGCTCGCTCGTCCCCCCCTTTCCTGCCCTGCCAGGCCTGTGCTCGGATCAAGGGTCTGGTTGGGAATTTTAGGGGGGACCCCATGTCTTTTTTTCCCCCATTTTGGGGTGGGGTTCCTCCTTAAGATTCCTACCAGACTTTAAGGGCCTGGTATGACTTTGAGGGAGACCCTCACACACTTTTTGTTTTTTTTAAATGGGGTCCCTCATAACTTTCCTACCAGACCTAAAGGGTCTGGTATTGTTTGGGAGGGGGAACTGCACACTTTTTTTTCTTTATAAATGTAATTTTTTTCTTTATAAATGTCAGTTTTGCTGCAGCTGGTTCTATACATCGTACACATGTGCCACTTTACAGGCAGTTTAAGGGGACCTCTCAGGCACAATATTTAAAGGAATTTTTCATTTTTATTGTTTCACTTTAAGCAATGGTAAAATCACTGCTCCTTTGAAAACTGTATTTTTAAAAAGTGTTTTTTGCATTCATTCCTGTCCTCCAGGCCAGTACCCGATTCCCCATACCTTTTTATGGCCAATAACAAGCATATAAGCCTTCCATGTTCTAAAGTCCAATACATTCTTTATTAATCACAATACCACTCCACCACTGAATACAATAAAACTGACCATGTTATTTTACCATAAAGAAACACATACACTTTTGTGTACTAAGATAATGCACAGTTCAGGGATGATGCACTGATCGCGATGTCACTACAGGCCTGTGTCAATCAGCGTTTGTTTGCTTTAAGCAAGTTTTGCATTCCATACAAATCTATGGGTTTGCAAAACCCACTTGAAGCAGGTCAAATGCAAGTCAGAATTAATTCAACAGCTGTGTTCAGTGGGGAACATCCGACACACTGTTAAGGCCTCATTCACCCGAGAAAAGGCCGGCAAGTACAGCTCCGTGCTGCATGCACGGCCGTATCGGTCAGCTTTGGGAAGGACAAGTGCTGCGTGTGATTAGTACACAGCCCCTGTCCTTCTCTATGGGAGTATGCAGCCATACACCGCCCCACACTCACCCACCCTGCACGTCCGTGCGGGTGCAGGTGTCCGTACTCGCACGCTGACAGGATGGATGCTGTCTGCGTCCGAGTCTGGACACCCGCACCTGCACTTGGGGTGAGCGTAGGGTGGCGTATGGCCACGTACTCCCATAGAGAAGGACAGGGGCTGTGTACTAATCACACGCAGCACTTGTCCTTCCCGGGAGCTGCCCGATACTGCTGTGCACGCAGCACGGAGCTGTACGTGCCGGCCTTTTCTCAGGTGAATAAGGCCTTAGTGTAAAATGGCAGCCGTGCCTGGAGAGCAAAGTTTCCACAGACCACTAACTGGAAAGGTGAGTATTGAGGTGCTTATTTTACAGGTTGCTGCCACTTTATTTTTCTTTTCATATGCTGAGGGTCACTTTATGAGCTAGGAGCTTAAAGTAGAATGAACCCTCCTATCTTTAACAGCCGAAGGCGGCAACATCTTAGCCTCTATTTAGATCTGCAGTTGCCATGGTGCTGCATATTTAATCATATTAACTATGTGCATGTTATGTGACATAAGCATAAGGCTTATCCTAAGGCACACTGGGACACAGTTAAATCCGGTGGGTTTAGTTCCGCTTTAACAGCTGAACAGGTTTTTGTGCTGAGGTTCATGCACAGAAGAGTGTGGGTATTGGTGTATGTGTGCTTGTACCCATACATAGGGCATATAGGTTCTAACAATTTATTTATAAATTGGTTCCAACAAGCTTTGGGTCAACCACCCTCCTGTTCCATGACTGACAAAAGCAGTGTATGTCATCTCCCAAGCACTGTTTTCTTGAGGACAGAGTGATAGGATGAATTTTACATGAATGCAATCTCAATTTTTCTACGGAGAAGATATACATATGACAATCCAGACACTGGACTTGTCACTGTGACTTACCACACACTTGAAATTTGGGATGTCATCATACTGGTAGGAATAAGGATAAAGTATCATTTGAGCATAGGCATGAAATGTGATGTAGATTTTGATAAATTTTCTCCTTTTATGGATAAATTGTGCAACTGCTTTCACTTCTGGTTCAGACTCTGCATAGGGTCCACAGTATGTGTTGTCACATGGATTCAGAGATGCCCCTTCCTCTACAAAGTCAAAGAAGAAACACTTTGTTGTTTACTGCCATGCAGATATGAATAAGTATAACAGACTTAAAAATAGGAACAGACAGAATCATGTTGTCATTTTGTAAATTAAATGCTGATACACTAAGAAGGAATAAAATATTATGAGAAATAAGTCCTCACATCATAAGATACAACTGCTTTGATCAAGCTTCGGTTAAGATGTCAGCAACTCGATCTTTAATTTGGATAGCAGGATAACAAATGGTTGTACAACCACCAAATGCATTGATTAGTTCAGTTGTAACATTTCATCATTTTCCATACTGCAGCGGTTTTTACTTGCAAATGATAATAAAACTACTATTAAGATTAATAATAATAACAAAATGCTATAATTGTCACTCTTACCACAAAACTTGACTTTCCAATTTCTGTTAGCATCCACACCATAGCAATTATATCTCATTTTTGATCTTGTCTTTCTCCAGAAACGATCCTAGCAAAATATAATAACATATTGCAGTTTTAGTATCTTGCTTTAGATTTAAAAAAAATACACATTTAATATTGAGTAAAATATTTAATTACATTCGGTGGTCATTGAAGTGTTATTAATCACTATAATTCTGAAGCGCTACACCTTTTATGTGGGCCTTGCCTTAAAAAAAATACCTAAAATTTCCAATACTGCCCCTATTCAAAAATAGTAGTTGTTTGTCTGTCATGCTGAATCTACAGTTTTGTTTCCTAAGGAGTCACCAACCTTGTAATGTGGAGACAACCAACCTGCTTGGTAAGTTATGAGGGGTCACTAAGTACTGAAACCGGTGGATTAGCTTGACAGACAGGCAACTACCAATCACTATTAGATCCTATGCTTACCTTTACTTCTAGCCATGCTACAGAGGACCAACAACAGCCCTAAATATTTGTAAAATTATATTACTCCTTTTGAGAATGTTATCCCTTATATTGGGTTAATTGAGGCTGTTTTACTAGCAACCATAACTGATTATACTGTGTAGGGAAGTGGCGTCACATCGGGGGTGCAGCCCGCACCATCGGAAGGTGTGACACCAAAATGACTAACAGTCATTTAGGTATCACCCCCTCTGAAAAGTTGCTTACTTGGTCATGGGCTTAGAGCCCGACAGTTGCTCGAGAGAGAAGGGGACACGACAGCATACCTTATCCGCCGAGTGAACATCCCCTCCTTTCTCTGCCCGCGTCCATCACCAGGATGGCTGCCGGTAGGTACCCAGATAGCAAGTAATTGTGCTGCAAGTTTGAAAATGACTTGCTAAACTCTTGCAGACTTGCCAAGCTTCACAATTTTGTTGCACGATTACAGCAAGTCTGCATTGCAAGTCTCCAGACCAGCGAGCTTGCAGAGCTCTTGCTATGACCTGCAGGACTCTTGCTGTAGACTTGCCAAGCAAATTTGCTACAAATTCAAAAAGTGTCAACTAGAACTTGTGCTGCAAGTGTTCTGCAAGTCTACAACTTGCCACGAATGTGTGCAGCAAGTTAACAAAATTACAATTTCACCCTGACACAAGTTTGTGGCAAGTTATCCTTGCTATCTGGGTAACAGCCGTACAGCATGTGACATCAGTTTCTCCCAGAAAGGTTTACTCTGCTATGTCTAGCAGAGTAAACCTTTCCTTTCAATCTGTTTTTTTTTCTTTACTGACATCGGGGCCACCGCCGTCAGTCAGAGATAAGGGCACCTCCCTGAAATTGCTTGTTTCAGGTTGGGATCCCTGTAAGCAAGCATTCCTCCTGTCAGATATTGAGGATGAGGAAGATAGCACCAAGGTTCAGCCACACAGTAGTCAGGGGACATCAGGGAGGAAGCAGCAAGAGACAGGGATGTTCCAGCAGCTGGAGCATACTGGAAAGTGGGCTCCAGCAATGAGCAGAGGGTGGAGAATGAGGTGGCAGACTGTCTGTGGTTGCCACTGATTGGAGAGGAAGAATATTCTGAAGGAGAGTCAGAACAGCAGCTTGCAAAGGACTGGAGGGAAAAGCCATCCTAATCCATCTGCCAGCACTGCCCCACGGACATGGCCACATTTATTTTGCACCAGAGAGCATGTGTGTCACAGGTTGACAATGCAGGAGAGCAACTGGAATACAGACTGTTGTCACCCTTTAACAGGAAGTGCCTAAACAAAGACCTTCATGGCAGGATCACAAGGTTCTGTTATACTGAAAGCTGCAGATTTAAAAAGATTTAAAAATTAGTTTAACAAGTTAATGGAGTTTCTAAAACTTATATGGATTTTCATTTACTTTAAATATATCTGGCAGTGTGATACTAGAACATACAGTATACCTATCACACAATACAAACATGAACCACAGTATTAGAACAATTATCTCATGAAGGAAGAGAAGTTCTGTGGTAATACATTTCAGCAGAATTGACCTCATTTATAGAGTTAATGAAGCTTGCAGCAGTAAATCCCGGGGGCTGGTATCTGGCATGGTGACAACGTCAGTTAAAAGTAATGAGTGATAATTGGTGACAATACATACAGGATGAATAAATGACTTAAAAAAAGGGATTCAGAGCTAAAAATACATATTTTCATTGTTGGCATAGGGGGAGTTCTTTTAATCACACTGGCATACCAGTCCAATTATTGGACCAGTCCACATTGTTATTTAATTAGGCTGATAAAGCACATGATGCACACATCTTGACAAGTTTGAAGCAAGACTCATCAGTGTTTGATATTGAGGTAGCTGTAGCTGTTTAATGCAGTGGGGCAGCCAAATCTGTGTTTGAGAAGTTGGATGGGATCATACCTTTCTAGCCTCCCACTGGCATATGTGGGCGGCTTGGCAGATTATTTTTTTGCTTGGTAAAGCTTCCAGTGACCCTTCAAGCAACCCCCACCTGCAGGAGCCTGTGTGCCAGCTCTCATTAAGCATTACCAACCAAGATGTCACAGATGTTGCATGGTGATCTCATTTCATGTCTGGACCAGGACCCCTAAAGGATCACGTCTGATAATGCATGTTTGATATAAAATACATTATAGAATAACTGCATTTGATACATTTAGTAATGAAGCTAGTATTTAGAAGTAACATGGACAATTTCAATCATCTAGTTAACTACAGTACATTAGTGCAGACATGTTTTCACTTCTACGGCATACTGCAGATCAATGACCAAACATGGTTGCGTAGCTGCTCTGGAGTGGTATCAGTTCACCCCATATTGGTGTCATGTGTCTATTAAAGTACACCATGTACATGTAGGTATTTGGCAATTTACAAAGCAGAGTAGGGACTGGCTAGAAGGGGTCACTTTGATGCAGTTCACCAGCTTGAACATATTTTTCAATATATGTGAATCAAGATTCCCCCTTTTTTATGCACTGCTAGAACTGTTTAGAGCTCAACTCCACTTTATAATGTTTAAAAGATCCATGTACACCCCTTACTGTTTAAAAAAAAAAAATTAACTACTCACCCTCTACACTCTCCAAAATTGTCTTCCTTGTCTGCCTCTGCTTCTGGATGCCGCTCCTGTTCTTAGGCATCATTGAACCCAATGAGAGCCTAGGCTGTCATGTACACACTCCCTGGGGATATGCCATCACACAGCTTGGGCTTTCAGTAGAATGCTGCATAAAACAGTGCTCACAAATCACAATGGGAGCATCATTCTATGAAGCACTGAAAAATACCCACCACCAATGCTGGAGGAAAAACAGGAAAGATCCTTCTTGCCAGTGGCGTAACTAGAAACCTCAGAGACCCAGTGCAAGAAACCAAGAAGGCCCCCCCACCCATCAAAAAAGGCACGATTTCAATACTTTTTTCCCCCAATATGTATTGTAAATGGCTGTTGCTGGCGTAACTAAGCCCATTGTTACCAAAATGTTGTCAATGGCTGTTGTTGCTGGCGTAACTAAGCCTATTGTTACCGTGAGGCAAGTTCCCATCACTGGCGGAACTACCAGGGTCAATGCGGTCACATGTGCATATTTAGGAATCCTAAATATAGTGCTGGCTCTATACCCCTTTCGCTGCCACACATGATATAATCCACATTTTAGGCCTGAAAATGTACTTAAAACCCCCAAAACATTATATATATATATATACACACACACACACACACACACACACACACACACATTCTATACATATTCTGAAAGCAAACACCCTGTAGAATAGAATGGTGGCAGTTGCACATTACACAAGTTAATTTTAGTGGCCAAGAACACAATATAGTATAATATAAAATCTGAGTTTACAACGAGTAAATAGGTACCCAACATGCCCAGGCTGTCACTATAGGACAAGGGGCAGGGCGAGATCTCATGCTGGGGCCATAGAAAGGAAAAAAGGGGAGCAAACCCTTCTTCACTGTATCCTAAACCTAAAAAAGCCAATCATCCTGATTCTAGCTTCACTGCTGGTAAATTACTGATCTGAATTAAACATGCCAAGCCAAGAAGTCTAAATTCCTTTTTTGCATGATTTTTCTAGGTCAGTGACTTACAAGGTAGTAAAGGAAGATAACCATACCCCCAAAGTCTACACCTGCAAGTCAGCAATGGCAGCTTTCCTATTTCCATACTCTCAGGGTCCCATAGATACATACGTGGGTCCAGCTGTAGCGATACCCATCAGGGTTTAACACCGGCATCACATATATGTAGAGAAAGTCAAGAATTTTCTTCATAACAGGATCACTTTTATAGGTATTAATGGCCTATGTAAGGAATGACAAATTTATTAGCAACGCATATAAGTTTAATTGTAATTAATCTGAAATAAGACATTAAAGTTCAACTTCAGGGAACAAATAAACTAAATCTGTGAATCTGTAATGGTATTAAGGAAACTACATTCACACCTCTGCATTGTAGTGCACGGTGCCTCTGCAGGAGAGACTGCAGCCTCTTCAAGCATGATTCTATGTGCTACTTCTCTTTCCTGTTTCAAAACATGACAAGGCTTCAGTAAGTTCATGCATGAACCAATTTTGAAATTGGCCTGCTTTGATTCAAAGGTAAGAGCAATCTTCTTTTTTTCTAGAGGGGTAGCCAGGTACAAAAGATAAATGCCAAAATGTGTAAAATTAGAGCAATTTAAATGCAAAATGTTCATATTACTGGAGTGTGCCTTTGAATTTTAAGCAAACAAAGAATGTAGAGTATGTGTTTGTAATAAACAATTATTAATATCACCTCCTTTACAAACCACTGGCAAAAAGCTGGCCCAATCCATTCTCTTGCGTGAATACCACAGTCCATCCAAATCTCTCTCTTATAAGATTTCCTAAAAGAGGAAGGCTTTGTACCCAACTGTGTAATGAAAATAAATATATAGTCATTAGTGTATTGTTAATAGCTGTATACACTCTGAAGGAAAGGTAATATTAAACAGAAATCCACAGCAATCAATCTGATCTACAGCATATATATTTGAGATCCAAAATATTAATATGCGATTTTTCTAGAGTGACATCTGATGTGTTTAATTGATACCCCAAGAAGATAAAGGTGCTTATATAATACAAATGAAAGAATAGCATTTGTAATGATCTAGGACTTATGGCCTGGGGCTGTATGCGGCACGTTGGCACATGGGACCTTGCAGACACTATTCTGTATTTTCCTTAGCTAGGTGCTTATTCAGGGCAGCAAAGGAAACAATTATTAGACTTACTTCTAGTGGTTAAATGGTTTGATTTATTACTTTTTTCTGCTTACAAACCAAGCCTCAAAGCAGTCAGCCTGTGCTATGCTGTCTCTTTAGATTAGCCATAGTGCTCTGAGAATCTTCTTTGAGCAAACAAATTCCCTATTGTAGCAAAAAAGGAAAACATTAATAACAAATTCTTTCAAAACCTTATCTAATTTCAATAATTGTAGTTTCATATATTTTTAAATACATTTAGAGGGGGCCCCTTTCCAGGGGAAACCAAAGCTGTATATAAGTAATCACTGAGAAATTATGCAAAATTCCTAAGAGGTATTGAAACCCCAATTGTTGATCAAAGTTGATCAAAAAGAACCCCCATAGTGATATACACCTTGGGAATAAATTCATTACCAATAATTTAAAAATCTAACAATCTTTATTAAAATGTTATATGTTTATGTACTTCTAAATGAAAAAAATTGCATACCAACAAACCTATTTGCAGAACTAATTAAGTTTATTTTCAAACTTAGATCAGAGAACTAATCTGATTTGCAACAAAATTTGAAAACATGGACATTCAACAGTTTCTTAACCTTTGATTTTTTTGATGGTAAGAAGCCTAATGTTTGCACACTTTGCAGAGAATTCCCTTGTTTTAACCAAATTTGCTAATGTACCATGTTAAAGTGACATTAAAGTCAAAAACGTTTTTCCCTCTCCCCAATGTTAATGAAAGCACTTACCTTAAATGATGTTTCTTAATCCGATCTTCTTCTTTCTGTCCTTTTCAGCCTTCTCTCCAGCGCTGCTGCGGGTCTCCGATCCAGCGCTGACTCCTCTGTCCTTGCTTGCACTTCCTGTCCCACGGTGTCTGCATGCGGGTGCACGCGTCCATAGACTTACCTTGTGTCTCTCCTCGTCTCCTGGCCGAAAATCCGAACTGCGCATGCGCCGCCCGAACATTTTTGGATTTTCGGAGAGGAGCGCGCGGCGAAGACAGCACTAAGTTTAAACCGCTTTTAAAGCGTTTAAAAAAAAAAAACTTTTTGCATATATCTACTGCTTGCTATGAATCAGTTTAAGTGATTCCTCTATGATCGGGGGTTGTAAATTCCTAATTCCATGATAATGGTTTTGCCCAGATCAGCTAAATCCCCTAATAAAATTAGCAATTGACATGTTTAGGTAAACACACAGGACATGTAACTTTAATGACCCAGGTGACCACACTTAGTAAGAAAACTGAATTACATTATTAACCCACTTTCATAACTTGCAATTGATATTGTAAATTTAATTGCACAAATAGCTTTGTCTCATCAAGACATAACCATATCTACCAAGAATGGACAGGCTATGGTGGCCAGGGTCTTATCAAGCCATATTAAACCACCTTTGCCAGCCATAGGTTATATACCTACCAAATTTAGACTTGATTAGAAGCTAATTTAATGAAACAATAATCCATAGCTTATTTAGGATTAGCTCATGATCCTAGAGAAATATGTTTAATAAAATGAACATTAACCATTTAGAAGGAGCAGAGGAGGACATTGTAAAGGCTTAGTCCTCCTGCTCCTCCTAAACTGCCCTGCCTTAGGGGGTCGGGGCCGTGACACCCCATAGAGGGCTGACAAAAAGATTCTGCAGAGCCAGCTAAATAAGGCTCTTGTTTTAACTTCTAGAAGAGGGACACATGCAACACCAAGAAGTTTGTAACATCCCAGAAGACATCAGGAAATCATCTGTGCAAGCCTTACTTGGAAAAGAGCCATTCAGATCCATCTTTTGTTTACTGAACTGGACTCTGTCAGAACTCATAATCAAGCACTCTCTTTTTTTCATTTTTATTTTACTGTTATATATTTTGTCTCTCTTTATTAATATATTTTTCTGTATATTTTTTTCACCGTTTCTTTTACTAAAGGATGATCTTAAAAATTGTTAAGCTTATCGCTATGCTCTAAATAAGTATCTTTGCCACTGTAAAGAGCGCTACTGTATAGTGACACATGTCATATTCCTGTCTGAGAGGACTGTGGTATCATAGGCTTTGTTTAACTTTATTGAATTGTCACAGCACTTGCTGAGATCGGTTCGCTAATACCGGCATTACAAAGCCTGATATAACTCGTCACGTACACTGTACGTCTCCCGTCACGAAGGGGTTAAAAACACATGGTGGCAGTTGATGTTTGGTGTGTAAAGGGTTAACTGCTGAGTTAACCAACCCTGGTGACAATCGCTCTCTGAGTTTGTTGTCCTGCGAGCTGGGAAATCTCTGTGCAGGGGGAGGCTGAGAGCAGTATCACCACGTCCTTGTGACGGCTCGCTTGGTTCAGAACTGCGTAAAATCACGTGCGATTGACGTACAGTGGATTCGGACCCGGCACATCTGTCACAATAACGGCCTGGACAAACCATAATACCACAAGAGCTGCTTACAATGGTTACCTTTTATTGCCATGATTTCAAACAGAAGTCAAGACTACTATAAATAACTATTTGTTTGTAGGGCAGGGACAGTTATTTCCATATAAGTATTTTTTCCTTGGGAAAATGACCACAAAATACTTTTATTAGATGAGTCTTGATAAAGACCTACCAAGATCCATTGAAATATTGATAATAGAATGCTGTTACTTTGACTGCAAGACCTGTTAGTGCCTCTATACGTATTTTAGATTTGTATGGATATGTCTTGTGGATGAGCACCCGTGCATTTACATTACAAATAGAGTGCGGTGCCTAGGGATGATTTATTGTATTGTTTGGAGGAGGCTACATGATCACTGTCGTAAGCTGGCCATTTATGAAGAATCGGCTAAAAATCTCATAGTGAGTGCCAATGCCAGCACCCTTCTGGCAGGCATCCCTTGATCACAAGATCGAAGGTGCTGGTTGGAAGATCTTCGAATAAATGGTGCTTGCAACCAGTTAACTGAAAGCTTCATTCATGTATTCTGACAGTGGCAGGAAGCTGCTGTCAGAATACAAAGGAAACAGCAGATGATTCATCCATCAATGTTCGTAAACATTGGATGGAGGAATCCATTCTATTTTTGTTGTTCAGCCCACTGGACACCGAACAGTGTATGGCCAGCTAAAGTCTCGTGCTGTATTTATGGCTGAGGCTGTGGGTGGGGAGAAGCAATGCTGGAATGCCACTTCCAGTATGTTCTACACACAGTGGGCAATTCTACTAGCACTCTTAATCAGTAGAGAATAGGGCTGGCTGTGACAATGCAGGATATTGGAGTGGCCAGCCTCTTCCTCTAGTGACAATGCTGAGCCACAGGCAGCTCAAAGGTATAAACGGTGACAATGCTGTAGATAATTTCATAGCTATGTTACAGCATTTTGAACCATAGACAGGAAGTCTGCTATTTCTGGCAGGATCACCAGATATGAAACTAGACAAAGAGAGGGATATGGTGAATGGGCGTTGGTTTTATTAAAAGGTGTACAGCCTTCAATGTAACATAACCAAATATCAGTTTTTGCCTTAACATACACTTTAAATCTCCCTAAAATGTTGTTGCAGCTGCTTCAGGACTTCTGGCCATGATAGTTTGTCCCAACCCCTGTCATTATCACTTTTACCAGAAGGCTGGATCCTAGTATAAGTGGAAAACATATTAATAAAGGCAGTCATATAAGAAAATGAATTTATATACTGAATACTATCATTACATGTATGAGCCAAATACAGTTTTTAAAAAATACATTTTCTGTGTTAGTGTTTTTTTAAATGAAAAAAAAACCTGACAAATAATGTAGTAAAAAAATATAAATAAGCATACATTAGGACCAGATTGTACATGTTGGTCCTGGAGCAGTCTTAAAATAAGTCCTACATCAGTCATAGGCAAACTGTGACCCCTCACTATCCAAGATTCTGAGACTACAACTATATGCAGAGGCTGGCACAGCATGTTGGAGTTTGTAGTCCTTTGGTAGCTCCAGGACCGACTCTTGCTCAGACAAGGGCTGAAAAGCAGCTCGTCTCAACTAACCATCTAGTGTACAATCAGAATGATCTGCAAATATTAGTGAATATCTAACAAACACAAACCAGACAGCACAATATAATTCCAGCCTGGCATGATGGGGATTTTATTAGATTAAGCCTTTCACTCATCATTTCCAGAATACACATTTGAAAGGCACATGGGTCTAATGCAATAGCCATTCTGTATTACAAACATGTATCTCATTGTTTTCTTTGTATAACTCTGTTGGAAATTAAATTGGTTGTATTATATTCTTGGTGCCTCCTGGGGTAAAATATAAAGATTATTCAAACTAACCTATCAAATGGGAATTTCACATTTAATTGATCCTCCCAACCGAGGTTGGCTACATGTTATTTTAACAGTATGCACTTCGAGCACTGCCTAGTCCTTTTGATTAGTTGCAACTTTCTTCTAAAGCATAGCTCCTAAAAGCTCTCCAAAAACACTCCTAAATTAGTCCTTATGGAAGACACAGCCCTATCAGTATCAGAAAGGATCTGAAATATATTAGGCATATTACCTTAAGCACATACAATGGTCTTCCTTCATAAGAGGTCCCAATTGAAAACATGTGAACAAGATTTGAGTGAGATCTATTCATGTGGTGCATCCATTTCTCAATCTGAAAACACAGATATTTCATCAAACAATTGTACCCACCAATGTTATGTTAAAAACAATTAATGGGATATCTTTCTTAATTGATAATGTCCACGTTTATTTATACAGGCATTTATATAGCACCAACGTTTGCTAAGCAATTTACTCCTGTCTCTGCCCTCAAGGTTTCTAAGGTTCCTATTTCATATGCAGATATATATACTAGGCCAGGGGTGGGCAACTCTGGCCCTACAGCTTTTGTGGAGGTACAAGTCCCTTAAGGCATTGCAAAACTGACAAGTACAGCCTTGCCTTCCAGAGGAATGTTGAGAATTGTTGTTAAAGCACAGCCGCAGGGAAGCTGCCCACCCCTGTACTAGGCCAATTAACCTAGGAAAGGTTAAAAGGAGAGGAAACCCACACAAGGAGAACATGCCTACTCCATGCAGGTAGTGTCCCGGATGAGATTCAAACCTAGGACTGAAGTGCTGCAAGGCAGGAATGCTAACCACTTAGCCACTGTAACACCAAGTTGAATGTGATATACAGTTTGTATTTATGTGAAATACCAACAAGTGTGTAAAGTGTCCATTATTGTACAAAAGCAAAGGGTCCTTATTCAAATAATGGTGTTTGTTTCCTTTCCAAGTCTCTGAGGGCTTGATTGACGAAAACTGTTTGGGTCAGAAAATGTAAAGCAGATAAAAACCCTAACTGAACTGTGTATCATAAACAATTGCCATGTTTAAAAAAATAAAGTACTTATGTTCACCTTTTTTATGCTTTGGTGCATTTCGTTGCTTCTGATCTCCTGCAGCAACTTGCTGTCTACATGCACTCTAGTGATAGTTGCATTGCATTTCTCAGGGTTAGTTGGTGACATCAGTGGGCCATGCCTACATAGTGCAGTGACAATGCAGGAGCAAGACTGGGAGACAGAGCCAATAACACCCAATAACAGGATGTGCCTGAAAATGTGCACCTGGGCCCAGACTAAGGACATATTCTTAACAAGCAGTAAAAGAACGTTCAAACCATCCCTAACCTCTGTAGCAGCTTTTAAAGTGAGGTTATTCAAGATCCTCAAAACATTAGAAACATCTACTGTGTGCTTACTGGTAAAATTCCAAGATCTGTTCTCAATGAAAAAAAAGCAATGCCTTTGTTTTGAATTTTCAAACTGAATTTCACTACAATATTTATAGATACAGAGGAGAATATAGAATTGTTATAAATTGTTTTTAGTGCTTGTAAAATGTATATATGAATATGTAAATAAAATAATTTAATGTACATGATCTTGACATAGGTTAATTTTAATAGTAGGATCACCAGGTACTATTTCAATTAAAGCTGCAATAATAATGTTAATGATATTAAAAAGACTTTTGAGATTACATGAACATGTTTATATGATTTTAGTGATTGGGTTTACATACTGTATACTTTAAGCCTGATAAATACAATGGAAAAACTCTATTGCTCTGGCTTGTTTAACCATCTCAAATCTCTTATAAGGGTGGAATTTTGTTTTCAATTGCACCACCAAGAACATAAATTGTATATTTACTGTATATTGCTGTATAGTTTAGGTCCCCCTTCTTTACATTGCATGTTTTATAAATGTTAGCATAAAGAAAAAGTATTGTTCGTGTCACAATGTCCGTCAATCCGTGCCGGATTTTACCTTTGGTCCCTGGTGCTTGGCATTGAGCCTATGGTGTTTCACAAGGCTGCAGCCAATCTGCACTCCTCCTCCCCTATTTAGCACTACCTCACTTGTTGCTTTTGGTTCGAGCAACATGTCTAACTCCTTGTCATGGACCCCTTGTATCCCTAGTTATCCCTGTGATTGGATCCCCGTGCTTTCGGCTTCCCTGTACCCCACTGGATTCTCTGTGTGGCCTTATTCCCTGCTTTGTTCTCGGTGTTCCTGTTATAGTCTAATTTCAGTGTGTACCTGTGATTATTGCCTGAGGCCTTCCATTGCTTTCACCAGTGTGATGTGAGTATGTTTTTACTGTCTGCATTGCTATACTGCTTCAGTGTTTCCCCGCTCGAGCCCTTGCGGGTCTGTATTCTCCGATCTACTTGAATTCTTCATACTTCTGCCTTACTTTCTCCAGTGTACTTTATTTCTGTTTATTCAGCTCTCCAGTGTATCTTTCACCTTAGTGCAACACATTTACTCTTGTACTTCAGTGCTCCACTTCTTCCTTGTATCTATGTTCTATACCTACTTGTATCGCACACTCCCTGTGTACATTTGCCTCACTGACCTGCACTTCGTGTTTAATCGTCTGTGTATCCTATATCTTCTAGTGTGCCACTGTTACTAGGGTTGCCACCTTTCTTCAAGTGAAACCCAAACACTTTTTTGGGAGAGTGAGTGGTGGCTTATTCATATGTAATAGCGCCACCCATTCATATGTAACTATCACAATTGAGACTATTTTAGTGGGGGGCCAGTAGCCCCTATCTTAATTTTGGTTGCATATGTCTGCCTGACATCTTGTGTCCGGGTTTCTGCTGCCATAAAACCTGGACACAGCATTCAAAACCCGAACTGTCCGGGTGAATCCTGGACAGGTGGCAACCCTAACTGTTACTATCCTACTCCTCTTGGTTTTAGGTTTGTTCCCTACCTGTCTCTGTATCCAGTCCCCCGTTGCTGCCACTAGCCATCTAAGTCTGTGCAGGTGCACAACCAGGAAGGTGCCCGACCGCACATTCATCCTCACCATTGGAGGCTCTGTAGAGGACCCGGCCCCTCTTAGACTCTGTGCCTCTATTCCGTCCCCGATAAATCACAGACCCTTAGCTTCTAGTCCCCTGTGACCTACATCCATAATATCCCTCCAGTCTGTGCCTTCTATCGGCTCCCCGCACCAATAACCCCCGAAGCCTATCTTCTCTAATTCCCCGGTCCGCTGACTGTGACAGTTCAGGAAGGGGAGAGGACATTTTTTGCCTACATATTTTGACACTAAGCACTATCTCTCTGTAAGGTATTGATTATGCGTTAAAGCCTCTGTCATGAGAAAAATACATAGGCTACAAGCCTCTGTCTGAAACTGCTAGTCACGGCTGTCATGCTAATCTTCCAGTTTCAGTATTTTCAGTCAGTTACCAGGAACAAGTATGCAGCTAGTCAAACCAAACCTCACTACCGCTATACTTCTTACAGGTCAGTAGAGTATAGATGTCAGAGGATCAGCAGACAACGATCAATTTCAGAGAGAGGTCACCAGTGTCAACCCATATATTTTTATAATGATAGGTTTATTTTATAATTCATGATAGATTTTCAAAAAATGAAAATGCATGTCTAGTTCACCAAAACAAGACAGCAATGCTTACCTCTTCCAGTGTATGATAGTCTTCATAGTCATACTTTAATATGGACCTTCGCTTCCTCTTTGCTCTAGAAGGACTCTGCTTTTCAATTACCTGCTGCAAGTTACTTACAAGAATCCTAAAGAAGAAAAACACTGAACATCACCGAGATGGGGTAAAGGCTGTATACTTCTACATAACATATGTTCATAGAACTACTTAAATGAAGCAAACCTGTATTTTGCCCATTTAGGGAGTGATAGAAAGGTAGGTGTAGGCTGCTGGGGGATGAGGGGGTTGTAAATAAAAGTGTATTTCTACTTTTGCAGTCAAATTTGAGAAAGCCCCTCTATATGTTATATTTATCTATTCACACAGCATACCTAAAATAATTAAAACAAATATTTCTTACCTTTTATATATTTTGTTGCAGCAGGCAACATGGCTGATTCCAGATTTTTCTCAGCACCTTCAGTAATCTGTCCTTAAAGAAAGACTTAGGACTAACATTTTAGGATTGTGTTTCTCTCATTAACTTAATTATCAAACAATAGAGAAGCTCCTCACCTATCACAGCCCCTCCTAACATTATAAAAGAAAAAGAAGCAAGTAGAAATGTTAACCCTCAGGAACCCAAGTAAAAGCAATTTAAACTGCAAGAAGCATGTTTTCAATTTTTTTCAGCTTATGCTATGTTAATGGGAACATGTAACAAATATAAAATAGGTATTATCCCAATTTGGCAGCAAAAGTGGAAATACACTTGAACGACTTGAAGACCGGGGGGTTAAACTCACTTCCTGGCCAGGCCATTTTTCAGTATTCAGCGCTGAGGTACTTTGAATGACATTTATTCAGTCATGCAATGCTATACCAAAATTAATTCAATATCATTTTTTGGGGACAGATAGAGCTTTCTTTTGGTTTTATCTAATCACCACTGGGGTTTTTCTTTTTTACTGTATAAAGAAAAAAGTATGGAAAATTGCATCCCTCTATGTATGATGATTAATAATAACATAGACATGCCAGCTGTAAAATTCTGTGATTTTTGAATATTTACACTTGCAGAACATTCACTCCCAGCTTAGAAAGGGAAAAATTACTTGTTTGCCAAAGCATTGCATCTTGGGAAGGTTACATCAGCATAGCATTGCTGGGAAATCTCATCTCAGTGAAAGGCGTTTTGCTCCCCTGAGATGATGTGCATGGTCACATGTCTAGCCACATGTGCCGATTTTCAGGGAGTAAATAAAGATCTAATAACCTGCCCTTAGTAAACATGGCCACTGTCAGAAAACTGGGGAAGAAAAGAGAAATAAGGTATGCAAAGAATAAAAATCCTGCAATTTGTAGATTGTGTTTGTAGATTGTCATTACTAAACATTGCTAAATGTGTGTTTGTTGTTGTTTCAAAGATAAAGGTAAAAGGTCCACTTTAAGTTTCAAATATGTAACTAAAAAAGGTCTGTGTAACCCAAAATTACTATGGAAACATAACATTTGGCATTGACTGTATGCACATCATTGGAGATTGGTGTATCTGCCATATCAATCTGGAGTGGATCAGAGGAGGTGAAATCTTGACACTTCTGCAAAATCCTTACTTGTATTCCATGTTGGCTTGTCGTAAGTAGGTAAGCAGGGCCTCAGAGCTCATGTTGGAAGCGTGGACATCGGTTATTATGTCTTTCCAGATGTTACTGATGCTGCTGGGTTGCCAAAGATCCACCTACAGTGTAGGAACTAACCTGTAAACCATGCACGTAATGGAGAAGGACTGATATTGATTGACATTTTTTGCTATGGGTGTTATTCAACACCTTTTTGTACTTGGCCTCAGGAGTAATACCAATTCTAAGTCACAATGCAGTTACACATTACACTACAAAGGCAAATGAAGATTATGTATGTAGAGAAGGCCAGAGATGGTTGGCTCACCAACCATGAGACCTTAATTGCACCCCCATTACAATTTGGTTTATTCTTCTTGGCAGTGTGAGTACTCATCCAAGTATTTAGCTGGAGTAGCTCAATTAATTTTCCAAAGGAAGAGGGCACATCCTACATGGATCTTGTGACAACAACCAGGGAGAAGGCTGGAATGTGTTGCCTGATGATTTTGTTTTTATTAGGTAAAAACTCTGTAGGCACCTACCTGGGTTTTGAGTCTTGCCTTATTAGGGTCTGTTCAGGAAAGTAGGTTAGGTTCTGTTCTGTAGGTGGGTTCCCTGTCCACCTTTACATCTGATACATAAAAGGAGAATGTGGACCCCTTGCAGGAAGAGTAATTCTGGGACTCTGTGTATGTGTCCATGCCAAAACTCTGGAGTTGTGTCATTTCCACCGTGGGAAGGAAATCCTTAAAGCAATCTGCTTGTGGGCTTGCATTCTGCCTGGTTCTGCCATTTTGATCTCTCACAATATATACATATACTGTATAGATGGTTGAGAAATAAATGGCATGGTTAGTGGTTGCAGTGTGTTTTGCCCCCTCAGTGCCTCATTTTGTTTGTGACCTTTGTAAACCCCTTTTCTCCAACACCACTAAGCAGGAACAGGCCTTTCAAGCTCCGAGGTGACAGTGAGAGTATCCCGCTAACACAGACCCAAGTTCTGACCCTAACAACACAAGTAAAGATGTAAAATTATGCAGTTATAATGAGAACATTCTGGAAACATGCTGTTACTTCAGAATCAAGTGCTAAAGGTTTTTCTTCAACACTTTTCATTCATTTCCAGTTGAAGACAAGTCCATTGTTGTAATTAATGAATGCAGCTGCTTAGTACATGAACCTTTACAAGGATGCTCTAATTATACCTTTTCCCTTCACTGTTTGATATCGTTATGCCCAGTACAATTAGTACATGCTTTAAACTGTGAAACAAATCGCATTGCTTATGCTAGTATAGTCAGAGGTGATCATTGTTCTAATAATCCAGGTTTGATCATTAGTCATGCTGTGTGATAATCACAGTGGTGCTGCAGGCCTCATGCTGAGCACTTTATCATTGCTGTTTCCGCTGTATTTAAGTGTGACTTTATAAAAGGTGAGGCATAATAATACTAAAACAGAACTTTTTTTTTTACCAAGAATGTAAATACAGCTATAGCACACTATGCAATTGCTTCAGGTCAAGCCACATAGGTAACGTTGTCACGTTTTGCCAGATATGTTCATGGTATAGTAGAAGGGTGTGGCAATGCCACAATGTAATTTGGCAACATTGTCCCCAGTAACACTCAGTTAGAGGGGCTAAGAGGTTCTAGGATGTTAAAGCTTTTCCAGGGAAGAAACTGACTTTTAAGTTCCTTCCAGGTTTTCCGGACTATAGTGGGTTGGAATCTCTATTCCTGGGGCCAGTTGTTGCCAATGACCAGTAAAGCTATATCAGATGGCTGAGAGCAGCCTTATTAGGAGTCTGGACCAGAGCTCAAGGGAGTTGTGTTGGAGTTGTGTGTGTGCAGGAGGCACACGGACACAGGCAGACTCAGGTGCCCGCTGGACGCACGTGGAACAGCCAGGGGAGGCTGTTGGACACACTACTGGAGAGCAGTGTGTGTATAACAACAAGGTGTGCTGAGAGGCTTGGAGCTGAGGAAAGCTACTGAGCAATACTAAGGACTGTATATGCTGAATAAAGCTGATTATAATGAGAAGTGCATGAAATGTTGGCCATTGTGTGAGCAGGAGACTATCATTCATGTTGCTGCTGGAAGCTGTCTTATGTAACAGGGAGGTCTACCTTGTTGATGGAAAGAGACTTTTTGTGTTTGCCCTTAATAAACTGCATTTTACTTGCATTTCCTGGCTACAGTCGAGTGTCCTTCTTACAGTATGTATAGATCAATAGCTGTGAGCACCAGAATCTTGGAGCTGCTATGTTTAGGTTCTGGACTATGAGGATTTTGTTCACTGTGTCTGGTGCAGGAGCACAGCGCAAGGGGTTAATTTAGTGTTTAAGGATTAGTTTATAGGCCAGTTTAGTGTTAAAAAGTAAGTGCATGTTTAACAAACCAACATGAATCAACTCCTGACATCTCACAGCAGGGGCGGACTGACCATTTGGGCAGTCGGGCACTGCCCGAGGGCCCGTGGCCAGTATGGGGCCCGTAGCCCCCTGCTCCCCCATTACAAATTGCCTGTTTTTTGACCCGCGCGCGGCCTGCTGGGATCGGCAGTCTTTCCAGCATTCCGGGCCGAGGCGCAGTGGGCAGACTGATGGCGAGAGCCGCGGGACGGGACACAGAGAAGATCCGGGCCGTGGAGAGGAAGGCTATGGAGAGGGAGGTGCGGAGTGCTGAGAAGGGTGTCGGATGCTGAGAAGGGAGCCCGAGGAGCTGCAGGCAGCCAGGTACGTGATTCGGCAGCCTGGGGCCTCTGTATAAAATACTGCTGGTATTTGTAGTCCTCTATAGCAGGTGCCATTCTGCATTGCAGCAATGCAGAGTGGCACCCTCTATAAAGGACTACAAATACCAGAAGTACTTTATACAGTGATGGTAAAGTATTGGTGGTATTTGTAGTCTTCTATAGCCTGTGCCATTCTGCATTGCAGCAATGCAGAATGGCACCCTCTATAGAGGACTACAAATACCAGCAGTAATTTATACAGTAATGCTATTGCTGTTTAAAGTATTGGTGGTATTTGTAGTCCTCTATAGAATGTGCCATTCTGCATGGCTGCAATGCAGAATGGCACACTCTATAGAGGACTACAAATACCGGCAGTACTTTACACAGTAATGCTATTGCAGTTTAAAGTTTTGGTGGTATTTGTAGTCCTCTATAGCATGTGTCATTCTGCAGGGCAGCAATGCAGAATGGCACCCTTTATAGAGGACTACAAATAACAGCAGTAATTTATACAGTAATGCTATTGCTGTTTAAAGTATTGCTGGGATGTGTAGTCCTCTCTAGCCTATGCCATTCTACATTGCAGTAAAAAAGGATGCACCTATACCACACAGCTCCTCCTCCTTCCCACCGCCTGCACAGCAACGGTGAGACCCAGCCCTACGTACCCTCCGCACAGCCATGTTCTGACCCTGCCGCCCACACAGCCCTGGTGAGACCAGCACGCAGCCCTGGCGAGACCAATCACGCAGCCCTGGCGAGACAAGCACGCAACCCTGGTGAGACAAGCACGCAGCCATGCTGAGATCCAAACGCAGCCCTGGTGAGACAAGAATGCAGCCACGGTGAGACAAGCACGCAGCCCTGGTGAGACAAGCACGCAGCCATGGTGAGGACCACACAGCCTTGGTGAGACCCTCACAGCCCTGGTCACACCACTGACCTCTGCACTCTGTGTTACAACTTACCTCTGCACTCTGCATCACACCGCTGATCTCTGCACTCTGCATCACGCCGCTGACCTCTGCACTCTGCATCATGCCGCTGACCTCTGCACTCTGCATCATGCCACTGACCTCTGCATTTCAGAAATGTAATATCTAAAATTGATTCCGCTGCATTAGGTACTGTGCAGCAGCCTTCTGGGGAACCACATGGCGCCCGCTTACAGAGCTTCTGTGGCCTGCACATCTTCCCCTGCTGAGACCATCAACAACCATGGAGAGATCCAGCCGCCCGCACCCTCTGGACAGCCATGTTCTGACCCTGCCGCCCAAGCAGCCCTGGTGGGACCCTCCGCACCCCTCCTGAGACCCTCTGCCCGAGACATCTGGCTGGCACCTTGGAGCAGAGCACCAGCACAGAGTATGTACCAAATTCATATACTATTATTCTGCATTGCTGTATAATGTATTGGTAGGATTTGTAGACCAATATAGCTGATGGTATTCTGCATTAGAGTGTAAGCTTCTCTGTACAGAGACTGATGTGACTAGCTCAGTGTTCTCTGTACAGCACTACGGTATATGTCTGAGCTATATGATTGTATAAATATAATAGTGTGTAACTGTGGGGGGGGGGGGTTTGGGGGGCCAGTGAGATCTGGCCCCCCGCTCCAAGCTCACTCCTGTGATGGACTACAATCTCACATTCAGTTTATTAATTTGTATGGAGATTGTAGTCCATCCCGGGAGCGAGTTTGGAGGGGTGGCTGCTTAAAAACACACAGACACCATGGGGAACAAAAGTAGCCACCCTCCAGAAGGAAGGACAATTCAGAGATGATTGGAGGATCTATAGCCGAGTGATACACAAATAGGATACAGTTTGGTCAATAGTTAAGGTACTTGAATGTATTTGTAAGGTTTATCTCCCGAGTTTAGTGTGACTTTAATGCAGATATGCTGACTTGTCATTTATATGTAGGGCAAAAATCCTTGCGCTGGCCCTGCTGCCCCCCCCCCCATAGTGCCCATTTAATGGTTCTGGTTTGTGACCTGCAGTGCATTGGTTCTGGTCTAAGGTCTAGATCATTCAGTTCCCCTGTCAATTCTCCTACTAGTTCTCTGGAAATGTACCCAGGATAATTGGCAGAACTGCAGAATCTAGGTCAAAATAGCTCACTTTCCAAATCCCCTATATTGGTCTAGATTTTTAATTCTCCTACCAATTCCCCAGCAATTAAGTTTAACTTTCAGTGAATAGACCTGTTATTTTAAAAATATTGTGGAGAACTAATTCTGTAACACAGCAATTTATATGTGGGTGGAGCATGTGGGTGGGTGGGGCTTGTATATGGGCAGAGCACAAGGGGGCCCCATAATCATATTTTGCCCCATAATCGTGTGTTGTCAGTCCCCCCCTGTCTCACAGTACACAAAAACAGATCAATTGTTTTTAAAACATGTACTTTTATAATTAAAAAGCAGTCCTTGAGCTACAGTCAAATAACTTTGCCTAGGCAATGATGATGCCATCAATCTACTGCAGGCAGTATGAGGCTTTTTCGTAGTCTCCTTTTCCTCAGTGATCAGACTATAACACTGTAACGTTGTAGCAAGTCACTTCAGGAGGTAAATGCTGCCCATGGATTTTACCTGAACTAAGGTGATGCTGTCTTTGTACCCCATAAACTAAAATAGACCCCAACACACTAGGTACTTACCTCTGACATCTCCTGCCCCCTTCTAGGTTCACTTCCTCAGGGCCGAAATCTTCTCTGGTGCTAGCACCGCTTGCGGAGTGACTCCCCGTAGACTTGAATGGGGATATCTTAGGATCTCTAGTGTAGAAGTATGGCCCCATTTAAGTAACATATCTGATGCTAGGTGATGCTAGGTCCACTTTAATAACACATTCCAAACACATGATACCAGTGATTATGTGTGAAATCCAACACCAATCAAATTCCGTAGCAACATATGGGTTGCTACATTTTGCTGTTTAAATAAGTTTCTTAGCTGTCCTTCACTTTATATTAGATAGAAAGCCAGTCATGAAGAACTATTTCTATGTTAAGAAAATTCAACAGAATGGTGGTGGTGCATGACAGGGGTCCAGAAAATGTCAAATACACTACCTGGCCATGAAAAAAAGGGCACCACCTGGATTTACTTTTATGATCTGGGGTTGCTTCGGTTGGTCAGTTCTAGGTTCAGCAACGTCATGTGCCCAAAAAATGAGGTCAGTTGCCTACCTGAATATACTGAATGACCAGGTTTTTCCATCAATGTATTTTTTTCTTCCCTGATTGCACAATAGGCATATTCCAAGATGACAATGCCAGGATTCATCGAGCTCAGGTTGTGAAAGAGTGGTTCAGGAAGCATGAGACATCAATGCCACACATGGATTGGCCACCACAAGTCCAGACCTTAACCCATTTGAGAATCTTTGGGATGTGCTGGAGAAGACTTTATACAGTGCTCCGATTGTCCTATCATCACCACGAGATCTTGGTGAAAAATGAATGCAACTCTGGATGAAAATAAGTATTGCGACATTGCGCAAGCTTATCGAAATGATGCTACTGCGAATGCGTGCATTGTGATCCAACGAAATATTAGAGCGTGTAACTTCTTTTGGCCAGGCATTGTATATTAACAGTTGATTAGAATACAGAAATATTTCAGGTTTAGAGAAATACTACCACCCATTTGTGAGTACAGTCTGTCTTAAACAGCACAGTAATAGATCAACTTCAAATAACCCAATATATCAAATACTGTATGTAACCTAATTCTTCTCTCAGTACAAAGAAAAGGGACAAAGAGCAGTAAAGGTCACAGCCAGATGTAAGAAATGTATGGCCGCAGGCAGTGTATGGAAATACTTTTTGTACTAAAAATGAACACAGCATTCTAGGTTTAAAAGTAATCCTTTGCACCCCCGAATTAAAGTGGAACTTCACTCCCTCTAACCCCCAACCCCCCCCCCCACCTTTTTCGCTGGGTAATTTACAAATAACATACTTGCCTATAAATCCAGAGGTGTACAGTAGAGATACAACACTCCATTGCACCTGGACCCACACCAACATATTTGTCTTTGACATCAAAAGGAGCCAGCTCTATCTTTAGGGTTCTTCCAAACAACCCCCTAATAATGTGTCACGGTGCATGTGAAGTATAGTACCCCGAGGGCTCCTAGGTAATGTGGGTAACCCAGGAGGCTGCAGGCAACTGAATACCTCATTCCTGCCTAGCTGAGAGTCCAGGAAGTGGAATAGGCACACTTTGCTATTAATATAAGCACAGTATGGAAGACATTCTAATACAGAAGAACAAGAAATTCAGTAACAGTACAGATTATTGTTTGACAAATTTAATGCAAAACCAGTTTTGGGTGGGCTGATTTCTTCATCACTTTTATTCACAAGAATAAAAAGAAGCTGAATGACTTACTTGAAGCTGTTGGTACATATGCTTCAATTCATCAGCCTCGTCATCATTCTTGGGAACAACTCGTATTACTTTGTCGCTGTAAAAAAATTTAGCAAGAGGAATCAACATTTGGCTATAAGTAAACATTTGAATTATACATCACAGTAATATAGTCTCATTGCTTCTCTAGATCCTTGAGTGACAGGTATCATCGCTTATATAATGTAGGAAGGCAGCAGAGCAAATCATTACTTTGATTCTTCTTATTAAAAGCTGCAGCATTTCTGATAGAGCCCACCTGACTTCTTGGTTGATGGACATGCATGTCTCTGGCCACCCCTTTCAGTAATTGGATTTCGGTTCTTCCAATAGTGGAGGCTCAGTATCACATTTGGGTCATTACCTAGGGCAAACTACATGCAAATGCAGCCTACCTAGGAATGCCCACTTTTCCAGACTGGCATTTACCCATGAAGGCATTTTGATATTTGCATAACCACTTGCATCAGGGCTGAGGTAGGGTGCTGTGACATTTTCAGGAAGCTATGTATTGAACAATGCTGGCTCCTGCTACCAGCCACAATTTGCCTACACTGCAAAAAGTGGAACAGAGACCTAGTGATGACATCACCTGGCCTAAAATAAGGTATGCTACAGAATAAGACATGTCAAAACATAAAGGGTTTATTTAAAAATTGTATTTGCATGTTCATGGATGTGGGAAAGAGTTACCAGAGAAAGCAAAATATAAGCAGATTGCACTTCAGGTTTAAAGGGGAATTGAACTGTGGAAACTGTGCCCAAAAAGGCTGGAATAGGGTAAAGGACCAGTGACCGATATTGCTTGTGGTCTCCTTGTAGCTGATCTTTCCCTATTACTTACTTACTAGGCCTTGCTCTGTACATTAATGTTGTGGGGGAACAGCCATCTTGGTAGAGGCCAGGCTTTTGCTTTCTCATGTCAGCGCCTCCAGCAAGAACAACAGTCTGAAGCACATCATACACATGTGTGTTATGCACACATAACATCAGCAAATCTTATTCCAAATCTCAGGAGAGTAGCAGTCTGAAGTAGCAGTACCTTAAATCTCACTCTGAAGGCACTGGCCGAACTACCAGGGTCCTAGCGGTCGCATATGCAACCAGACCCTGGAGTTCTGCCACTTGGGAGGGGGCCTGGAAAGAAAGAAGCGGACTGGCCCACCCCGTACTGACAAGGCTTATTCAAAGCCACCAAGACGGAACAAATTAGACAAAACAGTTCTAGATGCAAGACTTTATGAATTGTCTTATGCAGCTCTTGCTAGGGATATGTTATATGTTAACCTAAATTAGGTACAGGTTTACTTAACAAGGTAGTTTAAAGTAGGATGACTATATGCGGGATGAAACAGACCACAAAAAAAACAGAATTGATTACTTCACTAATTTAACCGGAAACCAACTGATTGTAATGGGCTGCGCATTAAATGCACAGTCATTGTATTTTACATTTGTGTTATTAAATAAAACCAGATTTTCTTAATGGGTGAGCTAATAATAATATGGAATATTTATCAGAGTGGACTTTTTTTTAATAATCCTTACTAATCTTAAAATATTTACTTAAGCGCAAGAACATTGCCTTATTTAAAGGCAATACAACATATTTACATTAGTATATTACAGAACATTAGTTTAAGTAAACATTATTTAATTAAAGGCAAGGGCAGTGTTTGTCTCCAAATGAAAATGGAATAAAGAATTGGGCAAATGGTGATTATATTGTAAAGTTGATCAAAGTCAGGAACGCAGGCATAAACTTTACTAGAAAGAAAAATCTAAAAAGCATGGTGCTGTCTCTTGAATAGCCACTAGACATTGTTAGAACAACAATATTAATAACTATACAAGACTGGTACAATTTTAATACATTTTCATCACTGGAATGACATTTGCTTTCTTCACTGCCCTTCTGTGTCCTCCACCTGCTGGCTTCAGCAAGCCATTCCTCTGAGTGCCTGCCAACATGCACAAGGCCCCACCAGATGGTTATCATATATACTGTAAGCAAGAAAGGAATCGGGAAATCTAATAGCAACATCAAATATTAGATGATTTTAAATGATTGGAAATCAATTGATACAAATACAATGACATTTTGTAACTTCTAATAGCTGCTTCATCCTGCCTTGAACAATTCATTCTGATCATGTCAGTGAAAGGCAGTTTTCAAAAGTCACTTTTCGATATGCACCTAATGGTATAATTCCAACATGAATATGGAGCACTCAGGTGTGTAGAATTTTTTTAATTTTTTCCTGTTAATCAGCAATGTACTGAGGTAATGTAATGTAATGTAATGTACTGATAATGTGGATGGATTACTGTAAAACAGATGAATAGGAATAAAAACTGACAACCTATGTAAAAGAGAATATATCTGCTGATCACACACTATTGGCTGATCTCTCTTCTACTCATTTGGCTGTAGTAGTCTTCAATCTATTCTGTTTATTTTCTTTTCCTAATTTAGGCCGGTTCACAATATAGCGTTGTGCTAAAGGCACAGTACCCCTGCTTTAGTGCACACTATGCACTTTAGTGAATTTGCATTGAGGTGCTGAGGGGTAAAAAAAAAAAAAAGTAGTGCATACAGAATGAATGGCAACATGCTAGGACACACTATGGTACAATGCAATTCACTGCACGCTAGGTGTGCTGGTGCATTGCATTGACATCCATTCTGAATTGCACTCCAGCGCACCTACTGGCAATGTGGTGCTATGGGGTGAAAAAATAGTGCAAACAAAATGAATGTCAGTGCACCTAGCGTGCGATGCATTGCGATGTGTGATAATGTAAAGGTACCGGCAGTGATACATAGCTGGCAACATGACTGACAGGAAATACATCATTCATCATATTGACATTTAGGAGTATTATTATAATTCATGTAACATAGAAAGGAATCAAAGCCAATCATTACTTTGATCTTGTTTTTGATGTCTGGAGTCTCCAAATTCAAGTACAAAACTTTATAATGATGATAGTAATAATAACAATAATAATAATCAGAGTAGGGAAGGGTTGGACCCCCTGTTTTTTTATCGCTGTTTTTGTCATAGCTGGGGTGATATGCTCTCTGTGTTTATCCTGGTGACCATTGCCACCGGGATTGAAAATGACAAGAAATCCAAACTGTTTAACTGATTTCCCTTGCTTTGCAGAAATTGCCCTTCACTCCCTGTCGCATCTCTGGCACAGAAAGTAGGGATGCACCGATACCAAGTACAGTACTCTGTACAAGTACAAGTACCGACACTTTTTGAACTCCAAGACAAGACTAGAGAAAAATTAAAAAGTTAGGAGGCAGCCGTCATTTGTAAGGAGCACACGGAGCTCCTGGGATTTGTACATCCCTGTTTTAATGTATGATTTTGTTTTTATAAATATAAATAAAGGGATGCACAGATACCAGTTTTGCGACTTGCCCAAGTACTTACAAGTACGAGTACTGATACATTTTTGTTTATTGTCATGTGACAGTTTTTCTAAAACAATACAGACTAATGATTTCAGGACAGTGGTGGAGTGCCAGAGCCAGGTCCCAGCTGCAACCCTATTAGTTCTCATGAAAACGCCAAGTATCGACATTGGTACTCGAAAAGTATCGGTGCATCCCTAACAGAAAGTAAAGGTAAATCTCCCCAATGATACATAGACGGCAAAAACAAAAAAAAGACAGGGGTTTTAACCATTACCTACTAAAAACGCTTACTTAAATTCTTAAATATTTTAAAAAATGTTCTCAAAGAAAAAAAGTTTTACAAGCCTGTGCCCATCTCTTGATGGGCTAATCTATCTATAATAAATCTGTCTATACTGTGGTTATTCATTAATTTTATTTTCCAGAAGTATAAAGCACTGGCATTTTAAACAGCAGGAAGGAGTTTCGAGTCTCAGAAGAAGTCCCAGTCAATTACATATTGATTGCTGAGACACCAGGAGGAATCTAGTGCATACACAGGGAGAACAAACAAACTCCATGCAGAAAGCATACCTTGAAAATAAATGAATTCAGGACCCCAACCAATGCTATCTATCTATCTATCTAATATAAGGTAAGTGAATTTTCCTGTTGTAATGATATATATAATGTGCTCTGCACTGGCATAATATCGCCGACTGTAGAAGTACAACAATTACTGTAAAAGGTTACTGGTAAGAAGTCTGTATATGCAACCATTACTTTGCTGGTTCGCCATTCTGTTCCTTACATGTCTCTTATGACAATGTTGTCCTATACAGCGGTTGTAATACTGTAAATCCCCTCTGCCATCCATTACTTTCATTATATTTTTTTACCATGCAATTAAAACACTTACGCATGCAAATTGCTTTTTAAATGGTGACTCAAGTGCTTAAAGCTTATTTAAAACACACAAATTGCCAATTACAGAATACATAAAACTCAAAGGTTTAATTGACTGGGCTCTTGTTATATGGGATCTCTTGCAATGACTGAAGTCTGGGTGACTTTGAGGCCACCTAACACCGTGGTATTGCCTCACAATGCCACAATATATATATATAAAATGTAGATGGGGTCAACCATGTTAGCCTATTACCTAAGCATTACCCAGCAGTTCTTAAAGCAGTTAAGCCAAAACTCAACATATATTTAACATAAGGGTATAATAACATTCCTGATGGGATAGAGTTATAGGTAAAGGTGGAATAAACCCCTTCATGACTAGAGGTCATTAAAGCCTTAGAAGCACAACTATGCCTTGACCTGGCCATACACCAGTAGAATTTTGTTTTAAAAAATGTGTTTTTGGGACATTCATTGGATCTTCTGATAGTTATGAGGCTCAAATTGATGATCATTTTCGACCGTAGTGATAAACAAAATCAATGGAGCAGGATTGAAAATTATTCTCAAACAAATTAAATTCTTCCCTTCCCAGGATCGAATGTTAAAACCAAAGAAAATGTTTAATGACATTTGTCAAGTATCTGATGTCGGGGGCGTGGCTTGGACATGGCGGCGTAAAGACGCGAGTTTGAGGAGCTCTGCACCCTAACGGCCCATACAGTGGTACCAGTGACTTT